TGGAAATCGTCCCAGTGCCTCTGAAGCCCATACCACAGGGCTCAGTTATCAGGGACGTGGTGTCATAATAAAGTTTTCCTGGTACTTCCAGTAATAGCTTCCCCCGCGGGTCCTGTTACAGCAGAGCAGCAGGGTGTACCTTGTCCCCTGCCTGGCTTCCAGGGAGGCGATTAAGAGAAACGAGGAAACGGGGCCTCGTGTTGTGGTACATAGTTCACATAATTATGTTTTATGGTCTTCTACTGTGTTGCATAACTTCACACGAAATTAATTCCCCTGTTCATTTTAATGCGATTAAAAAGTAAAAACATTTGCTGTGACTGTTAATCTTCTAGAGTTATACCGCTACGACGGTATCCCTGGAGCTCACCCCTTCCTAAGGCGGAGGCAGAGGGCATGGGAGGCCCGCGTCCAGGCAGCTGCTGGGCCGATGCAGCTCTCAGTGGGAGAACAGCACCACTGCCTTGGGGCCCTGGGCTTTGATTGCGGGGCCTGTGCCATTGGAAACTCATTTTTTACTGTCATTGCTGTTATCAGGCATCGACTATGCTTGTCAGCGGCTCAGTGGACACAGGATATTGTGAGCAGGGTTCTGTAGTCAGAGAGACCAGGAGTCAAAAGCCGGCTTTCTCGTTTACTAGCCGTGCAGCCCTAAGTTCAAGCTTATCTACGAGGACCTGTTAGCACCTCCTTGCAGAGCGGCTGTGGGGATTATGAATGGAGCGTGCCACACCCAGGCAGAGTGCGGGGTGCAGAGTAGGGCCTGGACGAATGCACCGCTCACGCTGTTGGAACTGTTCGGTCCTCAGACCCAGACCGGGCTCCCAGCTGAGGGATCCTGAAGGAATTGGGTTGTTAGCCCCTGAGTGATCACTGGAGGACTCGGCAGGAGATGGCAGCTCTTTGCTTCCTCAGCCAGAGCTCCGATGGGTAGTCGCTGGGGAGATAAAATGGAGCTCCTTTCACGGAGCAGGGCACTCGGTGTGGAGGGAAACAGAGGCGGAGGCCCGTTTTCTGAATTCCGTTCTGTAAGTCACACTGACAGAGAACACTTGAGGCTAAGCACTCTTGAACTTTTATTTTATTTTATTATTAATCCTCACCCGGAGATATTTTTCCATTGATTTTTAGAGTGGAAAGGAAGGCGAGAGACAGGGAAAGAAAAACATCGATGTGAGAGAGACACACCAATTGGTTGTCTCCAGCATGCGACCTGGCCAGGGCCAGAGGCTGAGCCTGCAACCCAGGTACGTGCTCTTGACCAGATCGTACCTGGCCGAGCCAGTCCACAGGCTGACTCTGTTCACTGAGCCAAACCGGCTGGGGCCATGATCGGCAAACTGCGGCTCAAGAGCCACATGCAGCTCTTTGGCCCCTTGAGTGTGGCTCTTCCACAAAATACCATGGCCTGGGCAAGTCTATCTTGAAGAAGTGGCATTAGAAGAAGTTTAAGTTTAAAAAATTTGGTTCTCAGAAGAAATTTCAATCTTTGTACTGTTGGTATTTGGCTCCGTTGACTAATGAGTTTGCCGACCACTGGGCTAGGGCACACTTGAACTTTTAAACTGGCCAGGGTCCTCAGCCTGCTCCTCGGCTGCCTGGTGCCCCTCCCCGTGGTGACACCCCACCTGTCTGCTGGCGTCTGTACAGACACTCCACTTTGCATCAAACTCAGCACATCTGTTTCCTGCTAGAATGCTGCCCAGGACAGGAAACATTTGCCCTGGCACTCACTCCCTTATTCTGGAACCAATCTACATGGCCATGAATTCCCCACGGGCCCAGTGGCACATGGGACGAATGGCATAGCCTTTGGGAGAAGGAAAGAAATAACATTTACCATAAAGAGCCTCCTACCCAAAGACAGACTCCTGCTGGGGACCCAATTGCTAGCCAAGACTTGGGGCTTCACGTAGCTGCCTAATTAGAACATAAACCCACAAAAGATACCAATCTCTTCTCAATCAGAAGGTTAAGTTTTATAGCAGGTTTAAAGTTCTTACTATGAACGGTCATAAACGTAGGTCACTGGGTTTCGATATTTCAGAACTCCAAATGCAGATGATAGTCAAACTGGATTTGCCTTTTCTTTGACTCTGTAAGCGTGGCAGGCCCCAGAGGGCCTTAGTCATCTCGGGGACTCAGAGTGGCCCCAGCCCAGCTGCCGTGGTAGAAAACGCCAGAGGGTAGACCCATTTTCTTCCTGGCCCTTCGACACGTTGGAGAATTTTATTTTCTTCACATTAAATATCTGATCCCAACTTGCTATGTTTTGGTTGCTTCTCACACGAGCAGAAGGGAGATTATAAAACAATTTGTCTCTTTTTGCTGTTTTCTGGTGTTTTAATTTTGCACAAAGGAGAACTTAGAGCATGCTTTGGGAGCTTAAATCAGTGCCTGCTCTCGAGTGGTTCTGGAGCTGCCCTACCAAACGGTGAATTTGTTCAGTTTGCCTCGCATTCTTCAAAACAATGTTAAGAGATTGTAACCGTTCACACTGGTGAGGTTGCTGAGTGATTGTTTTCTGCAGCTGCATAAACAACTTTGACTGGAGGGACATTAAAATGGTCATTACAACTGTAATCCTTACGTTCAAACAGGCCAGTAGAGACATGGAAGCTAAAAATAGACCCAATTAAAATTTCTAGAGATGAAAACTACAATGTGTGCTATGAAAAACACACTGGAGGTGATTAAAGCAGATTAGACATCAAAGGAAAGATTAGTGAATTTGAAGATATAGCAGGAGAAATTTATCCTACATGAAACAGAAAGGATAAGTTAAAAAGAAGTTAGAAAGAGCATGAGGGAGCTGTGGGTAACTTTAGGTGGCCTAATAATGTGTGTAATTGGATTCCCTAACAAAGGAAGAGTTAGCAAAATATTTGAAGAAACGATGACTGCACATTTTCAAATTTTATTAAAACTATAAGCCCTTAGATCCAGAAAGCTCTGTGAAGCCCAGCACAAGACATACAGAGAAAACTAAGCCCAAACCACTTCACAATCCAAATTTCTCACAATCAGTAAAATCATAAAAGCAGCCAGAAACAGGCGGATGAACAAACAGGAGGGTGACGGCAGATTTATTGTCAGGAACCATGCGAGTGAGAACATGGTGGAACACATCTTTAGAGTCCTTGGGGATGGCGGGGCAGAGGAAGCAAACTGCCAACCAATGAGAATGTTTCTCAATACTGAAGGCCAAATAAAGCCTCCAGACACACAGTGACTGAGAGATGTGGTCATTAGTTGAACTGCACTGTAAGACATGGAGGGGCCTGTAACTGTATTCTAAGTAGAGAAAGCCAATCTGAAAAGGTTAAGGACTGCATGATTGCAGCTGCATGACATTCTGGAAAAGGCAAAACTACAGACACAATAGAAAAATTAGTGGTCACCAGGAGGAGGGGATGGGGGGGACGTTTTAGGGCAGTGAATCTATTTAGGACATGCAGCACAGTAGTGGTGGATGCCTAACTTTATTAAAACATTTGTCAAAGCTCGTAGAACTGCGGAGCACAGGGTGAACCTGAATGAAAACTATGGACTTGGTAAAAAGGAAATAAATAAAAACAACAACAAAAATATGGAAACGTTAAAAAAATCATATAGTTTGTTACATGCCAGTCTTACCCCAATAAAGCTGTTAAACCTACCAAACTGGCCGAGCTGCACCTTCTGTGAGGGGTACGGTCCTGAGGTGTTGCCCCCTTGTGCAGAGAAGTGGCCCCTCCTGCCCACACAGTACAGCCGCCTCCCCTGGCCTCAGCAGCCGGAGGGACTGTCGCTGTTTAAGAGCTTGGAGGAGGCCAGTCTCAAAATGCTGCACTTCAGGCTTCGGGTCATTTTCTGACGACCCCTCTCTGTAGCGACATCCACTCTGAAAATCAGCATCAATGATGGTCTACTTGGGAGGCCACAGGCCTGCGTTCTGATTCCTGTGGTGCCCATAACTGATCTAAAGGTTTGGGGCACTTGCTTCACCATGGCAGACCTCAGCTTCTTCATCTGCACGGTGGGTGGGTTTTCCTGGGACCCTGTCTGGCCCCTTCTCATCGCAAACCCTGTTTCTGTCGGTAGTAAGCCTTGTCACATTTTTATACGGAGTGCCATGTGGTGGATGTGTGTCTACTACATCCCGGGGCATTTGCCACAGCAGCCCTATTGCATGTAGGGGCACCGGAGACCCTCCACACTGACTCTGGTTGTGGGTAGAACCCTGAGTCCGACTTGCTCCAGGCCGGGTGCCCATGGCTGGGCTCAGGCTGTAGCTGCTGCCCTCAGTATTGTTATTTTTTCAGCCTTTCAGACATCCCAGCCCTGAGATCTCTCTTGGCTGAGAGAACCTCCTCCATCTGCAAAGACCTGCCCACATAGCAAAGTCCTGGGTGTTTTCTTAGCCCAGAACTGAGAGGTGGTCCATGGTGTGATTGTCAACCCAAACACGAAGGCTGAGAGTTGGACGATTCTCCTAATAACTGAGCCTCCGGAGAGCGCATCTAAAAATGCCTTTATGTTCAATTGGTTAAGTGTACATTTTGAGGTAGAAAATATCCTTTAGCTAGTCTTGTTCCATGAGCCTAACCTATTTCTAAAATTCTGTAAGGACCTTGGGATGTAATTGACCGAGAAGCTCTGTTTGGCCTGAAGGGGGTCAAGTTCTCAAGCTGGACATCAGAATCAAACGGCGCTCTGAGCACGGCCAGGGACCTCTTTCCTGGACATCAGAATCAAACGGCGCTCTGAGCACGGCCAGGTGCCTCTTTCCTCTGTGACTTACGGATGCTCTTTTTGATGTTCCATCTGTCCAAGAGGAGGACAGAGGATCCATGTCTCTGACTGCGTGTGATCTCCTGCAACCACTGTCTCAACCTCTAGAGCGATTGTTTGAAAGTGAAGCCCCATGAAAAGCAACTCTCCCAGTGTCTGTGTTTGATCCGTTTTATTATTATTATTATTATTATTTATTTATTTATTTTTATTTTTATTTTTTTTAGGACTTTGTCTAGAGAAGTTGCCTGTTTCCTCTTCTACCAGTAACCTCCACGCGGACCGGGAGCAGGAGGTCATCACCTGCTATGAGAAAGCGGGGGACATCGCGCTGCTGTACCTCCAAGAGATAGAAAGGGTAAGTGAGGGCCGTGCACTGGTTCCCGTGGATACTTCAAAAATCAAGTGTGGAGGACTGTGGTCAGCCTTGGGAAAACCGGCAGCTTGTCCGCCTCTGGGCGCGAAGGAGGACCTGGTGGCGACCGTGGCCTCGAGAGCGTAGATAAGTCAGAGCTTGGGAGGCGCTGGAACATGCTCTCAGCAGAAATGACGGTATGCATGTGCTTATGCCCTTCCCCCCTGGCTGTTATGTCCGTTCTCCTCCGCAATGTGGGCAGGTCTTCGTGTGTCCTTGGTGGACTCTCTGCCAGCGAGGTGTACACCCTGGCGTGGAAGGCTTTACCTTGAAGGCTGTGCCGGAGGTCTGCTGGGGACTCTCAGCGGACCTGCTCGGAGCAGGTGTGTGTCCCCTGAGACCATCCGGGATGGTTTATCCTCAGAGTCCCTGGTTTGTCTGTCGCGTGGGGAATGGAGACAAGCAGCTAATGGGGAGGACACCCTACCAGTGAGTGAGGGGGCAAGAGACCCCGAGCCCACCCCCTTGGGCAGGGGGCATTGGAGCAGGATGGGCCAGGGAGGTGTACTCACCTGCCTGCCAGCCTGATCGCCCCTAACTGCCCCCCCCAACCCCCACCGGCCTGATCGTCCCATGCAGCCTGCTGGCCTATCGTTTGGTCGTCCCTCGCTAACCCCCCTGCTGGCCTCATTGCCCCACATAGCCAGATGTTTGGTTGTTACTGTGAGGGCGTTGTGACCAATTTGCATATTGCCCTTGTGCCATGCATCTTGTTTAGAAGGATCTCTGTTGTTTGGCTCTGCTCGTTCCTAAGCTACTTCACTTCACAGCCTCAACACTCCCATCTGAAAAAGGAGCATAATAATGGCTCCTACTTCATGACGTTCTTGTGGGAATGATAACAGGACATGTAAATAAGGCACTTCGCCCAGGATTCTTGAATGGATGTCACTTGTTTTTACCAAGATCTGCCCCCAGCAGAGCTTTCTGGAGTCTTACCAAGGGTTGACACGGGTATTTTCCCCTCAGATCCCAAGATGGATCCTGCGAAATATTTTGAAATGATTAGAAATCCTTCGAGACTTTGAAAATGACCATGATCTTGGTTCCCATCAATTTCATAGGTCCTCCGTCTCTGTGAGGAGTAGAATAGAGAGGAACTACCAAGTCAGGGTTAGTTTTTGTTATTTTGTTTGTGTAGAGACTGGAAGTGATTTCTTCATAAAGAATGTGTTTGATGAGGACCAGAATTGCCTTGTAGGAGGCCGGGAGAGGAGGTGGGAGCACAAGAGAGAAGGGGGGAGGATGGTAGGGTGACGTTGGGCCTGGCCTGCACCAGAACGGACTCTCAGCCACAGCTCACACTTGGGAGTTCAGGAAGATCTCTGGCCATCTTGCCAAAGTGTTCTATCTGAAGGTGCTATGAGGAAGGAATTTTGTGTGTGTTATTCAGAAGTTACCATTGATGTTTAGAGAAATGATCATGCAGCTTGCTTTCAGAATCACCTGTTTGTGTGTGTGTGTGTGTGTGTGTTTTAAATTTTTTTTATTAAGTTATTATCTGGGTACATATACCATTGGCCCCCACACACACACACACATGCCCTCCCTCCCCAGAGTTTTGTGTCCCTTGGTTGTACTTATATGTATGTATACAAGTCCTTCGGTTGCTCTCTTATTTACCCTAGATCTCCCTCCCCTCCCCGCTGTAATTTGACAGTCTGCTTGTTGCTTTACTGACTCTATATCTATCTTTTGGTTCTTCAGTTTATAATGTTCTTTATTATAAAGAAGTAAATGAGTCTTCTTGAAAGAAGGGAAAAAAAACCAGAGAGGCACTCATTAAATGAGTGAGGTCATGTGGTGTTTCTCTTTCATTGATTGCCTTATTTCACTCAGCATGATGTTCTCCAATTCCATCCAGGTTGCTGCAAATAATGAGAATTTCTTCTTTTTTATGGCAGCATAATATTCCATTGTGTAGATGTACCATAGTTTTTGGATCCAATCATCTGCTGATGGGCACCTAGGCTGTTTCCAAATCCTGTGGTAAATTGTGCTGCGATGAACACAGGGTGCCCTGCCTGCCTCCTCCATAGCCAGGCTCCCAGCAGGGAGCCTGCTGACCCAGCTGAGCTGTTCTTGCGAGCCCCACAGCCCTCGCCACTCCAGGCCCTCATTTTCCACCTTCTTTCTCCAGCGGCTGCCCAGCCCTATCCTGGAGGGCTGCCTTCTCAGGCCGGGAGGAAGGAGGTTCATCTGTTACAGGTGTCTTCATGGCAAGTCTGGATGTACTTCCTGTCGAGTTCATTTATAACCACCCGTTCACCGCGGGAGTCTTCAGGCAGACTGTCAAGGAGACTCATAGGATATACAACATATTTTTTTGGTGGTTCTGGGGAAATGATGATCATAGGACATTAGGTTTTGAGAAGAAAATGCCCAGAAAGGGAGAGCCCAAGGGCCCAGAGGAATTTGGGGCCAAAGTTAGAATTAGATCTTAGCTTTTTCTTTACCTAATTCAGCACTTACTCTCCTCACTGTCCCAGGCTCCTGTGGTTTCCCACACCCTTATGTATAAGAAAATGCTCATAAGTATTTGGCCAGGCGAACCCTCGCTCTTAGTACCTTGTTTCCCCGAAAATAAGACATCATCCAAAAATAAGACCTACTTACTGGTTTCCTTCTGAGTGAAATATAAGGCATCCCCCTGAAAATAAGGCCCCTCCTAGGCTAAACATGAGAGATTTGGTCCACTGATTCTGAAAGAAATGGAGTCACAGGAAATTCAGGAATTGGATTGTTATGATGATGTTCCAGAAGATGATGACATGATTGTCATTGAATAAGTGAGTAAATTCTGGATACTGTAGGATTCACAGTTTGTCTGGTTTGTGTTGACAACGACCGCACTACCGCACCATATACAGGTAATAAATTTCCTTTATTTTCATTTAACAATAAATGTGTACCGTATTCTTCTTCATGGAAAAATAAGACATCCCCTGAAAATAAGACCTAGCGCATCTTTGGGAGCAAAAATTAATATAAGACACTGTCTTATTTTCGGGGAAACAGGGTAGCATGGGGAAGCAGCCTTGGCCCAGGATTCGGTCTCAGGGTGTGTAGACGACTTTCACGTTTCTGGCTCAGTTTTCCAGTCTGAGCCTTCCTTCATGGGAAACCACTTTGAGCCTCCCCAGATCCAGCAAGCAGAGACAGTAGCCCTGAGAGCGATGGAGCGAACCAGACATCTGTTTTGACTGTAGTGGGTGCTCAAGAAACGATCTGTTGCTGTGAGGATAAAATGATTTGACTCATGTTCTTCCCAGTAAGTTCATGGTCAGCACACAGCGAATGTTAGTCTCCTTGCCACTCTCTGTTCCTGTGTCACCTGGCAGTGGAATCTGCCCTCATCTTGGGAGATTTCAGATATTTAGGTAAGAATCTAGAGTATTATAAACACACTGTTTTATTTAAAATGTTAAAGAATTTTTAGGGGAATGTTAATGGCCGAAAAATTACTTCATTTTTCTTAAAAAAATATATTTATTGATTTCAGAGAGGAAGGGGAGAGGGAAAGAGAGAGAAAAATACCAATGATGAGAGAGAATGATCGATCGGTTGCCTCCTGCATGCCCTATGCCGGGGATGGAGCCCAAAACCCAGGCATGTGCCCTGACCGGGAATCGAACTGTGACCTCCTGGTTCATAGGTTGACGCTCAACCACTGAGCCACGCTGCCGGGCTGCTTTCTTTTTCTTGTGTGGAAGATAATGGCACAACACTCTGCCTGGAGTTTCTATGTGATATCTGGGTTCAGGACCTCTGTTCACCCTGACTATTTGACCTTGGTCCAATCATTGAGTGGAGCTTTCCATTTTCATCGTGGGTCTGATACTGCCTGACTGGTCTGAGGCTAGAGAACTAGTGAGTCTCTGTGTCTGTAGCTGGGATGCAAGGAGCTACCTACATGTTATTCTCACCCCCCTCACCCCAACCCCCACCCCCGTCCCACCCTGTTCCAGATGTGGAGGCAGGGCCGAGGAAAATGTGAATACACAAAAGCCATGGGCATTCAATGTTTCTTCAGTATTACCTTGTTGTTTTAGGGTTACAGAGACATCTACTAATATTTTTTTCTCTGATAATTTGTTCTCTAAAGAATAAAAATAGCTCTAAAATTGTGTACATAAAACAATCTAATCAGACAAATTGGATCGGAGCAGATAGAATTAGAAAGGACACAGGATGGCCGTGATCCGTTTACCTTCAGGTGGTGGCATCGTGCCAGCGGTAAATAACGTTATTTGCCCCTCAAGGAGCCGGTGCCGGTGCAGTGACAGGAATAGCGATGACTTCATCCGTGACTGTCCCAGCGCGCGCCCCGCGTCTGGCAGATGAAATCACGCTGTCCTTGTCCTTCGCTGGCACCAGCCCGCCAGCTGGTGCTCCTTCTCCAGCAGAGGCTGTGCCAGGACGGAACCCTACCTTCTGCTGACAGTCCATTCCTTTACACCCTTTAGCACAGGCGCTGCTGCTGGATTATGGGACACCCGCAGACCTGCTCCGGGCTGTTTCAGCGCTGGGGTTTTGAAAGAAACAACGGGACCCCAATGTCATAGGGTTCGGCCCAGGTTCCCTCCGCGGTCAGCATGGCCGTCGTTAGGCGGTGGCTCTTACGTCCTCCCCGGGAAGAATGTGCAGTGACACAGCCGAGGTGTTGGATTCGGAACCGGATTAGACTAAAGTTACCGTGGGCCTTGAATTCAAACCAGATGTCCCGGGACCAGTGCTCGGGGCGGCCGTGAGAAAGGCAGGGCGTGACTCTGGAGGTCCACGTGGCTGTGCTGTTGGCTTTCAGATGTGAGACGACAGGAAAGGACAGAGCCTTCCTGCCCGTCCCCTTCCCCGTCCCTGCCCTTTCTCTCCAGCTGCAGCAGCGGGTCACAGCTCAAAGCTTAAGGCAGCATCTCTGAGTGAACGCTTCCTTCAGAGGAGGTCAGAAATGACGGGCCAGCCGTGGCTCGGATTTGGAGGCTGCCGTCCGAGTAGCTGGAGGAGGAGGCTGCAGCATCCCAAAGCTGACTTGAGAAAAGTCCGGAAAAGTTTCATTTTAATTTTTATACATGCTCAGTCAGTCTTTGCCTTCATAATTGTATAGCATTAAAGTATTTTTAACCTGTGTTTTTTCACTCAACATTATGTCAGAACCTGGAAGTGTTTTCAAGGTTGTATATAGCATAGTTCATCGGTGGATGGCCGCCGGGGGTCATTAACTCACCGTCGGGGTAGCCTGCAGTTAGGAATAATGCTGATGGGAACGTCCTTCAGGCAGCGTTGTCCTTTGCTTCACGTTGTTTCTACGGGCAAGTCTCCAGAAGCGGGGATGTGTTTGAGCATTCTTGTTACTACAGCCTGTGCCCACTTGCTCTCTACAAGTCAGGCCAACCTCCTCTCCCTTTGGCAGTACAAGAGGGGAGAGGCTTTGTGCATCTTGACAGGCTTGCTGTATAAAAGTTACTTTGCTGATTGGCTAGGTGAAAACGGCCCTTGCAGTTTTAGTTTTTGCATTTCTTTAACTATCAGATAGGTTGAATTATTTCCATCTATTTGTTTAATAACTGTTTTTTTCTTTTCTTTTTTATTACAACACTAGTGGCCCAGTGCACAGATTTGTGCACATTGAGAGGAAGTTAATTAGAAGAAATATTTTAATACCGCTATTTACCCTTTCTCTGTAATAGAAGTGTCAACCAAATTCACGATCAACAATGACAGATTGAAACACACGTGTGCGATTGGCATCAGTGAGAGCCTTACATGCATCACACATGTGTGAGTCAACATTTTTATTAAATTGCCAGTGTACGTCATTGGTTGGTAGGTCAGATGAATGGTTGGTTGGTCACTTAGCCTTTTATATATATAGATTATAAGAAGGTAATATGAAGTATGAAATATGAATAATGTATCTTAATTTCCTCATCTTTACTGTGCATCAGTAGATACTGTATAAAGTTGAAATATGTAGGTAAAAGAATCACCTACTTTCTCTCATCTCTCTCTCTCTTTTCCTGCACACATGCACATACATACACACACACACACACGTACACACACAATATGAGATATTTTAAACTTTAGAGATACCTCTTATGAACTATGTGGGGGGGAAAAACCCACATTTTTCTTTAGAGTTGAGTGGTTACTTTGGTCACACTAGAGTTTCTTCTATCAAATTAAAATTAAATGTAATGGTTTAAATTTGAACACACACAGAACGCAACCTCAGTTTCTGAAAAATGATTTTTTTAAATATATTTTTATTGATTTTGTACAGAGAGGAAGGGAGAGAGATACAGAGTTAGAAACATCGATGAAAGAGAGTCATCGATCAGCTGCCTCTTGCACACCCCCTACTGGGGATATGCCCGCAACCAAGGTACATGCCCTTGACCGGAATCAAACCCGGGACCCTTCAGTCCCCAAGCCGACGCTCTATCCATTGAGCCAAACTGGTTTCGGCTGCAAAATGATTTTTAACTTCCTCTCCTGACAACAGAGATATCTGGACTGTTGTTCAATCAGTGCTAACTGGTTATTTCTGTGGTAGAATTTTGAGACGATTTTCACTTTCATTTTTGTACTACACTGAATTGGTTTTGCTTTAAAATAATCATGGCATTCTTTGACATTAACAACTATCTCCCAAAACCCATGAAGGATCATTTTTAAAGGTTTCAGCGTTGGACCTCCACATGGAGATGCCGAGGAAGTAGTTGGATATATGAGTCTGGAATTCAGAGGGAAAGACTGAATTAGAGATGATACATTTGGGAGTTGGCAGCATGTCACTGATTTTTGAAGCTCAGAGGAATGAACAAAGTCATCTTGAGAGAGACTGAAGGGAGAAAGGACAAGTGCTCAGGTCCCCACTGTGTGAGTCTCCATCAGTGGAGGAAGGGTGGGGGAGGGGCCTGCCTTAGAGCCCAAAACGCCCATGCTCCTTGGAGGCAGGAGGAACACCTACCTGTGAGCACTTGCGGGAGTCGTGAAGCGGCCAGGCGGTTTTCATAAGATCCTGAGATGCAGCTCAAATTCAGGGGTTGCCCACTGGATTTCATTCCAGGACATACTGTTCATTTGGGTGCCTCCTCCTCTTCTTTCCCCCAAACCTGGCAAGTTAGAGAACTAGCGGTGCTTTAACTCCACTCGGAGAATGAGTTCAAGGCCTCTAGAGTATTTAGGGTTTGGCTAACATCTGGGCCTTTAAAGAGCTGCTGACTTTCAGTAGATGTGGCCAGTATGTTTGGAGAGCACTGGGATGGATTTTTAAAAAAAATACATTTTTTATTGATTTCAAAGAGGAAATAAGAGGAAGAGAGAGATAGAAACAATGAAGAGAGAGAATCATTGATCGGCTGACTCCTACACCCCATCCGCCTACTAGGGATGGAGCCTGTAACCCGGGCATGTGCCCCAACTGGGAATCAAACTGTGACCTCCTGGTTCATAGGTCGATGCTTGGCCGCTGAGCAATACCAGCTGGGTGTACGGATTTCTAACGAGCCACCAGCAGCTTCTGGATGAGTGCTTTATTTGGCTTGTGAGTTTAAAGAGCGTGGCCTCTGTATACATCTCTATGACCCACTCAACTTGTAATCCTGTCTCCTAATTAGTAGGGAGTCTTTTCCTGCAAAGCTAAAAACTTAAGCTTTTAAAAGCCTCCTTATCTGTTGACAAGAGGTCAAGTGCGGGAGACTTGATGCTTAGGTTGTTTTTTCTCAACTTGCCCCTTGAGAACAGCCAACTGCTGCTCAGCCCGCAGGCCTCCCTTTGGTAGCCTGGAGAGTTTGCCCTCCCGGTTAGCTGTCAGCCAGTGCCGGTCACAGCACTTCTCAGCTCTTGCTGGAGCTCGTCAGGCTCATGGGCGGCCGGAGCTGCGTCTGCCAGCCGGTGCCCTCGGCCTTTGGTGGGTGATGACTGCTCCTGGCCGTTGCTGGGACCTGCTTCTCTGTCATTCAGCCTCTCTGTCAACAGCCTGGCATTCAGCAGGGCCACTCCGGCTCTAATGCTCCTCCTGGCACCAGGCACGGATCAGCGTCCTTCACGCCTCGGCCCCCCATGCCAGGAGGGCCACACCTGCCCCCAGGTGGCGTGGTTGCCTCCTACCTCACAGTCTGTTTCCCTGATCCCGCCACATCTGCACCAGGCCCTTCCTTTGCACAGATGTTTGCAGAAGGACGGTGAATTTTCCAGTTGAGCACTGCATTCAGCGGTAGGGCTTGAAGGAAGCAGACTTGGATGTGGATCTGATTAGTTTTCCAATTTTCTCCCCTTCTAGGTAATCCTTACTAATATCCAAAACAGAAGCCCTAAGCCTGGCCCTGCTCCCCACGATCAAGAACTAGGTTTTTTCCTAGAAACAGGACTTCAGAGAGCCCATGTCCTCTATTTCAAAAATGGGTAAGCCTTCTTCATTTTTTAATCAAGGTCCTCAGGAAGGAGAATAGAAAGCCTTATAACGCTGTCTTCAGTTTAGTTATTATAACAAAACTATTGAAAATACGAACTATAATTGGAATTTTTTTTTTTTTTAAGAGAATGAACATAGGCTCTTTTTCTTCCTCACCTGGCTCTCCCAGTTTCCCATGAGATTTGAAGGTGGGAGGAGGGGGCGGGGGGCTCTCGTGTGAGTCTGGGTCACAGGCCCGGAGCATCCACGCCCAGAGGGGGATCTGATGGGAGCCGTGCTTGACGCTGCCTTCCTGACAGGGGAGCGGGACTGCACAGCCCTCCCCGCCCTTTGCCAGGGGAAAAGGGAGTGAACTGGAAACCCTGGCACACCAGATCGTCTTCCTGGAATGGCTGATCGGTTCAGAGAATCGGATTTGCCAGGTCTCCGACAGTTTTCTTTTTTTAAAGACGTCTTTATTGATGTTAGATAGATGAAGGGAGAAGGGAAAAGAGAGAGAAATGTGGATGAGAGAGAAACACGAATCGCTGACTCCTGCACGCCCCCTACTGGGGATCAAGCCCGCGATCCCGGGCATGTGCCCTGACCAGGAATCGAACCCTGATCACCTGGTTTATAGGTCGTCGCTCAAACCCTGAGCCACACGGGCCAGGTTCAGACAGTTTTCTATGAAGGTGAGCGTGGCTGTGACGCCACACAAGAACGTTTCTTACCCGAGCTGCCTCTGAGGAGGGTCTGAGGAAGGTCTGGGAGCCTGGATGTGAGGGAGAGACCTCTCTAATGCATTGATGTTTGATCTTTTCTGTGTTGCTCTTACGAGAAATGCCATGATTCTGTTCCACATCTCTTCAGCTGACCCTTGTTTTGACATTGTGCTGCAGGATAGATGTGCATGAAGACCAACAGTAGGTACCGGTTCCTCTGTAGCTCCCGCTGGGCTGTGCATGGAGGCCCAGAGGCCTGTCCCCTCCCTCTAGGACCGAGGCCCAGCCTCCGGACACACCAACAATGGAGTTGCTCCCTCTTCATTGTTACGAGCTTCAAACCTTGGGGTGCAGCTCGTGGACGTGGGATTTCATCTTCCCGGTAGCCCAGAGCCACACCCATCCAATGTCCATTTGCCCGTTTCCCAGGCCCCATTAAACTGCGGGCAAGGCCTGCTGTGCTCTGAGGGCCACTGGCTCCGATTGGCATGGTCCACACCAGACACCCCAAGGTTTGGAATGGCTTGGTGGCTTTGGCACTGAGACGTGCTCAAACTGGATCTCATCTGCCATGGATTGAGATCGTCTGAGCGATGGTGCATGTCCTCTACGCTGAGTTTTGCTGTTTTACTAGTAGATAGAGGGAGAAGGGAGGGGATGTGGAATGTTTTTTCTAGTGATCTGTTTTTCACAGAGGACCCCCAACCAACACCCTCCCTCCCTCTAACCGGTGATCTGTGTGGCAGGTACGCAGTTTCCTGGGGGCTCTCAGGGGAGCCACACCCATCCCTTCCTTCGAAAACGCTCTGTGTGAGGCTGATAAAGAGGGCCTGGGGAACGTGTTTTCACCTCCGGAGGCTGTTTGTTGAGGAGGGGCAGCTGGGCCCCTGGGCTCTGACCTCTGCCGTGAGACACGGCTGCCCACCGAGCCCAGCGGAAGAGGAATGAGGAGGAGGGGTGTGTTATCGCTAGAGGATGGGTTACCTGCTGGGGTCTGCGCACTGGCTTATTTCTCATCTTACCCAAGTTCACGGAGATTCCCACCGATGCAGCCAGAATGAAGGGACTGCTCCCCTTGGAAGCCTTTGCTTCTCTTTTTCTCGTCCTTACCCTTTTCTCTGGGCTCAGAAGACCCATGGTGATGGCCTTGGGCCAGGTCCTCCGCGGTGTCCCTATGGGGCAGTGTTCTGAAGGCTGGGCTGGGCAGTGGTAACAAGGGATTACTTTTGGGGTAGGGGTAGGTCAAGACCAGTTTTGAGACCACGGAGGGAGAGAAACCTGTGGGAAGTTTTGGTCAAGCCAAGTGCCATCAGGGTTACTCAGGCCCAAGGGCCACGCCGGGGGGGTCACTTATCTGTGGGCGCCTGCAGGCAGCACCTCTGAGAGCAGGGGCAGAGGGGGCAGCCGCTGTCCCTGAGCCGGGGCCTCCCCTGGTTCCAGCTCCTGATGCGTCCGCTCTGTGCTTGTCTCGCACCTTTTTTTATTTTCTGCACTTTAAAAACGGGCACCTGAGAACGTATAATGGACAGGGTCTGACAGATTTTCAGGAATAGGGAAATAATGCATTAGACAAGAGTTGTGCAATTAGAAACAGAAATTGATAAAGCACATCTCTTTCTTTAAAAATATACTTAAATATATTCAGTTTTTTTGGTTGTCTACAAAAAACCCCCTAGGATTTAATGAGTTGTAGGAATCACTTTTATTCTTTCACAATCCCCCATCTTTTTCCAGAGTGAGCACCAAACTAGTGATCTTGAGTCTCCTTCAGGGAGAACCGGGCCCCTGGACCAGTTCCTGGGCCCCTCCTAATCCCTTAGACCCAGGGATGCTTTTTTGTGCCAAGTACTTCCCCTTCACCATCCTTGCTCCTCAAGGTGGCATCTCATTCACGTCCTTTGCCACCTTTGAGGTCGTCAGTATCCGTAGCAAGGCCCCAGTTCTACGCAAGGCGACCTGGCTGCAGGTTCTATCGTTTAGCACTGCACCCCTGTGGTCACTCCGTGTGGAGGGGCTTGGTAGAACCCTCAGACAGTGGTTTTGTCCAGCGCCTGCCTTCTGAGAGAGAAACATCAATGATGAGAGATAATCATTGATTGGCTGCCCCTTACTGGGGATGGAGCCTGCAACGCAGGCATATATCCCACTGGCAATCAAACCATGACTTCCTAGCTCATGGGTTGACACTCAACCACAGAGCCACACCAGATGGGCTCATTCAATAAATTTTTTGTCAAGAACCTCACTGGGTTACTTCTAGTGCCAAACACTGTTCTACGTGAACAAGTCAGACCAGTCCCTGCTTTTATGGGGTTGACATCTTGGTTGGGGAAATAGTCAATAAACAGGCAATGTGATTTACTGAGGGTCACACCACTGACGGGTGGCGGAGCTGGGACCTGCACATCCGCCGACACCCAGTTCGAATTCTAACCACGCAGACCACGTTGCCCACACTCCGTGCTCTCTTCTTAAAAATGGAGTACTAAGCAGCAGAGCTCCAAGGATGCATTCTGCTTAGTAAACAGGAACTTTTAAAAGCCAGTCCAGATGTAATCTATAATAATAAAAGCATAATATGCTAATTAGACCAGACATCCTTCCAAACAAAGCCAGGGATGCGAGGGAAGCCCGGGTCCCAGGTGCCTGTCGGCAGCTGGGGGAAGGAAGGCCTACTCTTGCATGAATTTCATGCATCAGGCCTCTAGTTATGTCATAAAAAGTGTCAGCGAATTTTCTTTCTCTATTTAAAAGTATATTGGTCTGGCTCATCCCTTAATACCACCAAAACTTTAGTATGGAAACAGAGGAATCTTTGTCAATGTCAATTATGGATCTCTAAGACCACTTCCGGGGTGAGCCATGGGCACAGGTGATAGCTTTCCGTGCTCTTCGTACGTGCCAGCACTTAATGAGTGCTGAGTCCTGTGCCACCTGGAGGTTTGTCAGGGCTCAGTAAGGGGGTGGCTCCGTGGTGGTCTGTCTAGGCTCCCAGTGCAGGGTTAGGGGGGGTGGGGGGCGTGGCGCGGGCATCTGTGTACTCCATTGTGTGCTCCCTCCCGGAAGTTCTGTTTCCATTAGCAAACAGTTGGTCCCCTTTATCCACTTTGGTGTCCCCCAGCGTCATTTTTTAACATAAGCAGTGTTGCCTAGTAACGTAATTGACATTTTATCTTTATTAGGTTGCCAGCGAAACAGAATTGGAAAGCTCACCTAAGGTCAAATTTTCAAGCAGTAGAGGAAAGGAATTTGTTAACCCTTTGTCCACATTGTATTTTTTCCTGGTTTAACTTGTTTACTGTCTGTTTCCGATCACTGGACTGTAAGTTCCCCAGGGGTAGGAACTTTTGTCTGCTTTATTTGGGGAGGGATCTGTATCTTGAGCAGTGTCTGGCATACAGTTGGACATGAATGAATGAATGAATGAATGAACTCGTTTTCAGCTGAGATGGCTGTGGTTCACGGATGCCTAGCAGTGTGTTTTCTTTAAACGTAGTTAGTGCAACATTCATGTATTAGAAGCTAGATATGTTTATTGAACACTGTGCTAGGTCCTGGGGACATAAGGATGAACAGAACCACCTGGACTGGCTTCATGGGACCCGCTGCCCTGATTGCTGCTTCTTGGTGGGAAAGAGGGGGATGTCACCGGCCATCTAGGTCTTCCTGCGTATGACGTCCTTCTTTGGAAAAGAGGGTGAAGGGGGCCGGGTAGCAAATGATTTCCTTGATCTCAGGAACAGACAGCGTTTCTGGGTCATAGGGACCTCTGTTGTATGCCTGACTCTGAGATTGGGGGGAGGGGCATTTACAGTGATGGTGGCTTTAGTTGAGAAACTCCTTACGCAGGCCCTGGCAGACTCGTTCATGTCTAGAAGCTTCTAGCATGGCCGCATTTTGGTGCTCTAGGCCTCCTTACTTCAGCGTACCACATACACATCTGGATGGGATTCCGGAGTTCCCACACAGGAAAGAGAATTGTTGTCTTCTGTGGGTTGGTTGTTTGAGAACATTTGCTCCCAGGGCCTCCCAGACCCACGTTTTAAAAAAAACACGTGACTCTTCCCGATGAACCCTTCATGGGCTGTTCATTATTGGACACAGAAGCACAGGAGCGTGTTTTAGCATGGCCTCTGTAGACAGCCCCTCGAGGGCAGGTCACTGAAATGACACATGTGTGTTGGGAAAGAAGAAAGCACATCCTGTCTGGACAGAAGGAAGCCAGACTCATCCTCTTTTACTGTTGGGAGCTTTCTTGGTAATTTGGTGAATGTCTGTGCCGCGGAGCAGGCCGTGCGGTAGCTGCCCGTGCTGTAGTTGTGTGGGAAAGTGCGTAGCATCCTTATTCTGGTTCAGGGTTAACCTCCCCTGGTTTAGGTGTCAAATGCATTCATATTTTACACAAGGGAAGGATGGGAGTGGAGGCCCCAGCTTGTTTTTACTTCCTACCTATTTCTTTTTAAATCATTGTTTTTCTCTCCTTTTTCCTTTTTGCAGAGGTATTTTTAGTTAACTCTTAGAGAGATTGAGCTAAAGCCCAGAAAATTACTGAGACATCTTTTGGAGAATTTCTTCTTTTTTTTTTTTCTTTTTTTTTTGGGGGGGGGGGGGACACTAGAACCTTCTACTGAATATGAGAGGGGCCGTACATTTTCTTACAAATACCTGCCTTTGTATTTGTGTAGCAATGTCTGCCATTGGTCTGTACACCATTAAGGAAATCTATGATAAAAATGTATTTTCTCATAGCTAAGTCCTGCATTAAACTACAAGATTAAAAAAAAAAATGAATGAATTCTTTTTTTCAATTGATGTTTGGGTTTTCCACCTTCTCTGCTTTAGGTTTGAATTTTGACTTCTTATTCACAAGTGACTTTGGTGCTAATTCTCCAGGCCCCGCACTGACACTGCGGCTCTCTCCTGCTGCTCGCTCCTGCCAGGTGCTGGGTTGGTGGACATGGTAGCCCGTTCTCCTTTGAATCTGGCAGAAAAGCATCAGAAGCAGCCATCTCTTCATGTTGTAAATAAGCCACGGAAATATTAGGACGAATCCAATGCTGTGTTTCTTCCAAAAAAATACCCAGAAAAACATTAGCCAGACTTGGTAAAATCTCTGAATACAGGTGTTTTTTTTTTCTTTTCAAAAAAGATGCAGTTTTATTGCTTTCCAAGTACATTGTGAGCTATTGTAGTTAAGGAGA